TTCCATTAACTACCCTTTCTCTATACTAGGGTACAGCTACGGAAACCTTTAATTACATCCACTTTATTCAGCAAGACTATCAAACTGTTCTTGTTCTGTTTTAATTCTGAAATGATTAACATATTCAAAAATAGGATCTAACAATTTGTGTGTTTACAGTATATTAAATGTAGACACTTTTATTACAATCTTCCTTGCAACATATTATAAAATAAATCAATACAATCACTGTAACAGACAACAAATGAATACCATCCAATCAAGACACAGTTAAGATACTCAAAAAGGCAGTACGAGTAGCTGGAAACCTTGGTCCTCCGATTCTTTTGTATAACACATTGATTATCGATTTTTCCCACTTATGATAAAAATCAGCAAACAAATATTAACAACTCATACTGCAGATTGCTTAAACGTTTATACTGAAAGTGAATAGCATTGATTTTAGCACAGTATCTTTATGGAAGTCTCCCAAAGAGGTACATGGGAATTTTACGCACATAGAGACTACTCCGGGCCCAGAATAGAGTAGATCCTTTGTGAACAACTTTTGGTCTCTCCTGCACAATGGCTCCGCAAATGAGTGCACTTGCAGTAATCAAAATGGCTGACCACATACACTGCAAAGTTCATTCCAGAAAAAAGGGATCCAACACAAATTACTCCCAGTAAGCAAAAAGAATGGTGGGAAAGTGGACTGGACACAAACACAAAGCATTCACCGCCTCCATGTGTACATGTACTTCAGCATTAGAAGCATCCTTCACCGCTAACTTCACACATACACATGGGAGTATGTGTGGCAGTGACGTTAGCGGTCTCTACCTGGTAAATGCTGGACCGGTGGGTTACAGACACCTCTCATGCTGTTAGGACGGTCATGGAAGATTATCCATTAGTCATTGACTCCATTCTCTGGGTTAAAGTGCTTGTTCTTCTGTAATCAATTGAGACCTAAACTAGTTAAGACTAACCATTTTTCTTTACCTAAGGATCTGCAAGTGGGTCAGACAACCCTGGTAAATCTCCTCCAAGCCCTTAAATAAATAGCAGACAGCTGTCTAATACCGAGATACTTTCCAGCTGCACCAGAAAGACAGTAGGAACTCAGAAATAAATGCAAATATTAAATGCAGGAGGAGAGGAGGGAATAAAAGATTTGACAGGGCTGTGGAGAGTCTTTGAATTTTGTTCTGCAAACATTATGAAAAAGCACTGTGTAACTCTGAACAAATAAAAATGCATCCAAGTGTTAAGTACATCTATCTCAACATTTAAAAATACTTGTTAGCTTGTTATGACTACAAAATGTTAGCTACAGGATATATTTACAGATAATTTCTGATGTTTGTTCCTGGCAAGAGATGTTAAGCCCAATTCTTCACTGAAGACATAAACCTGACCTAATTTAGATCAGGTCAGTGGGAGTTTAAAACAGATTATCACATGAGCAACTCCCAGGGACTTACGCAGAAGAAGCTAGTAGCCCATTGCTACAGAAGCCAGTTACTGCAAAATATGAACTTTTGCAAATTGAACACATTAATATCATTATCCTTTTTTTTTTTTTAAAGATGGATTATGTCACAAATTACTGAACTGATCCATTCTTTGAAGCAGTGGGAAAAGATCACACCTGACAGGTATAAGCTGCTCCAACAAACATATCACTTTCTCTTTTATGGCAAGACCATGGTTCATTACAGTTTACAGATAAAACATTGTTTGCAAGGTAGCTTTAAGTTTCTTAAATTCCAAACTTCTTTATTTCAGAGAAAACCAGTCCTTGCCTTTCTCTCAATTCCCTTGCAAAAGTCTATTTTTTTTTTAGTGGCAAAAAAAAATAATTGTGCTGTCTCACACTTACTAAAAGGGCTTTTCTGTAGTACATGCTTACAACAGGTAGGGTTGCTTTGACAGTGCATACTTATTGCTGCTTAAAAAAATAAATAAATAATTAAAAGGCCAATTTTGAGCTTCTCTCTCCTGTCCATCCCCTGATGTGAAGAACTGAAGAACCTCAATTTTGCACTGCACTAGTGCGGGGATGGCCACCCTACAGCTCTCAATTCAGCCCCATGCAGCTCCCAAGGCAGGCCGTGTTACTTGAGTGGCAATGAAATAAATGCTGGTGCAGGGGGTGCTGGGCAACCCACAGCCCTGGCTATAGGGGACGGTGCACCAAGAGCCACTTCCAGACCCAGCTAAGATCTGTGCTGAGCCATGGGACTGTAGAAATCAAATGTCATTTACTGCATGTGAACTGCTCCTGGGATTCATCTAATTCTTGGCAATTTGAAGGACACAGTAGAGGTCTGAAAGCTTGGTCATCTGAAGATTTTTGGATGTGACTCATAGGAGCTGCAAAACTTGATACAGCTGGGTGAGGGTGTCAAGCATAATGCTGCAAAGTTGACCATGATATGTACAGGCAGGGAAATTCAGTATGTTGATCCCTTCCTCCCAAGAGGATGGTAGGGATTACATGCTTCTAGGTGGAATAGTCTAATTTTAAAAGATAAATAAACTCATAGCGATGTTTGGAATATCACATGCAACACTTTTTAATAAATGCTAGAAAGAGTTAAAATCCTTTTGTGTTCGACTGTTGAAATGCATCACAAGCTACAGTATTTAAATATCTTTGCTGAAAGCAATTATCTCAAAAAAGGCAATTGTATTCCTGGCAGAACTGCCCAAGTAAAAAGCAGCTTATCTAAAAAGGGGGCAAATTATTAATACTGAGCTATTTCCTAGCCTATCTGGAAGTTTGTGTCTCAGGAAGGAAAAAAAAAATTGCATCAATTTAAAAATAGAGCGCTGCAAAGGAAGGCAATTCATTGTACTTTGCAGAATCACAGAATGGTTGAAGTTGGAAGGGAACTCTGGAGACCGTCTAGTCCAACTCCACTGCGCAAGCGGGGTTAACCAAAGGAGGTGGCTCAGGGCCATGTTCAGCCAGCTTTTGAGTATCTCCAAGGATGGAGACTCCACAACCTCTCTGGACAACCTGTGCCAGTGCTCAGTCACCCTCACAGTGAATGATTTTTTTTTTTAATGTTTAAATGGAATTTCCTACGTTTCAGTTTGTGCCCATTGCCTGTTACTCCTTCATTGGGCACCACTGAGAAGAGCCCGGCTCCTTCTTCTTCACTGCTTCCCATCAGATATTTATACACACAGTTAAGACAGTTCATGTCTTTTTACATGTTGGATATCAGCCGTGAGCTCATCTCTGTTACTGACTGCTAATTTTAGCAACTGTTCACATCACCAGAATTATTATTGCTAGAAAGTTATTTCACGGCAGTGGTTACTAAAAACTGTGGCAGTAGAGTGATGTTTTATAGGTCATTTCTATTGGGTTTTTTCCCCCTTTAAAATTCTCAGTCATACGGCTTTTTTTTTTTTCCCCCATTTTTAATGCCAAATGCATGAGAGGAAATAAAATTATTAGTCGAGAGTGAAAGCCTGAAGTTTGCCTCTTACATTTACTGCAAAACATATTCATCTCTTAAATTTCATTTGCTTCAGAGATACTGAAAATGAGGGATTTCAGAAATGTATTAATTATGAAATCTTACTCTATGGAAAAAAAAATAAATCTATTTAGCTAAAAATTCACTTTAGGGATAAATTACTCTTCTACTAGGTGAAACCAATTAACTTTTACAATGGCAGAAAACCCACAAAAATGGTGGTTCGATCTCCAAACCAGCTCTTCTGGGGACTCCCAAGCTATGCAGGTGACACTACCAGTCAGGCAGGTGTGATGAGGAAGATGCAGGAAAGGTACCTGGGAGATACCCAAGAGGGAGCTTCCTGAGCATACTCAGATAATCAAGAAAAACTCAGCCCTTTCCTCCAATGCAAATCTGCTTCATGTCACTGCAATTTTGATCTCCTTATGCCATCTAAGACAAAGTTCATCAACTGAATTTGGATTTAACAACACACTAAACCTCATGTTGGGAGAAGCAAGAGCCTCAGTCCCATACAGAAATCATATGGAAGTATGAGTGGTCAGTACCTGTCTGCACACCTGCCCTACTGGTATAGTATGCGGCTGTGATGTATGGGACACTGAAATTATTAAGAAGCCCATTTTGAAGCCTTATGAAGCAGAATTTTGAAATAAAGATGCATTAATAATAATAATGGATTTCAGTCATCTCTAATCAGCGTAGGATGCAGAGACTTACATTATGAACAAATTAATTTTGTATGTGTCACTACATAAACATATGTAACTTGCTAAACCTTACTAAACTAAAAATACTACTTTTACCACATTGCTTCAGTGATAAGCCTGCCAATAGTGCTCACTATTATTTAAGTGGAAGTGCCCTTCACGGTTTGTAAATATATCCATCCATGAAGAACAATCTAGGGTAGCCAGCTTTCAGGGCAAGAGCTGCTTTCTGTTTTGTCCTTACAGTATGTTTATCCTTAGTTAAAAACTAAACAAAGAACGAAACCTGGCCTTGGAGGTAGAACTACAAAGTGCTAATCAATGCTACTGAATGAAGACATTATCTTATTAATGAAGATGTTTCTGGAGCAGCTTTTGGAAGAAAATCACGTGGGCACCCACAGACATTAGAAATAAGCGGCCGGTACCTGCAAAAACTGAAACTGTGCGGCTGTTCATAGACAAGAAACAGGAGCAGTTATGAATAACACGAATGACACCTCAAGGTCACTTCAGAGTACTTAAATGCCAAACATCTTCAAAGTACCCCTACACACAACCAGAACTTTGTGTGTAGTTTTAACCCTGCTTAGTTTCATAGCAGCTGAGATACTGAATACCAGAGTAGGTAACCAGGTATCTCCAGGAAAAGGAAGCATGGAGCCAGCTCCATTGGCACTAGACGCCACCTTGAAATATATTTTCCAGTCAGTCAAGCATTCCATTAGCAAATTCGCATCTAAAGTCTTTGGCAAGGCAGGAACATTGTACTCTCTTGCCCTGGGTAATTACACAGGCAAAGTGAATTTGACAGCCATTTTGATACCTGGTAATATGCTTCAATGCACACTAACTGTTTTGTTTTTAAAACTGAGCAAGGCCAGCACATATGTTTGAGAGTGGATATCTGCCTATGCTGGGCACTATTTCATGAAAATCAGGTTTCTGTCACAGACCTAAGGCAAATATTACAATTTACAGGAAAGAAATGAGGACATCAATACATTGTGCGTTATCGGAGACGTACAGCCTTTATAACACGGTGGCTTTCACTATGATCTCTGGGTTTTCTATGTCCTTTTTGCTTTGGACCATTCTCAGTTCCAGCTGGGCTGAGTTTGGTTTGTTTCCTTCTCCAGCTTGTGCTAAAAAGATGACATCAGAATGTCATTAAAAACAGCGGTATAAAAAGAAACAAGTTACATTGTTCTGTTACCCCACTATTTTTTCTACCCTTCTACCTTCCTCCTCTTCCCAGTTTCCCTTACTACCCTCTGCTAAAGGCTTCCAAGGTGGAAGATCCAGGTCAGCACTGTGATTTCTTATCACCTCTGTTAGGCACCACTCTCCAGGAAAGAAACACGGCTCTGCTGTTAATTAGAAAGCGACACAGACGTGTTCCAAGAACCCACAGATCCCATCCAGATCTCCTTAGGAATTGAAAGACATGAGAACTCCACGGGAAGAGAAGCTGAAAAAAAAATTGCTCCTCACGTGGCCAACACAGCAAACAGAGAGTTTATTATTAGTTGATAAACCCCTCTCAATACCAAAAACATGCACTCAAAGGGCAAGTGAGCAAGCTACACTTAGAAGAGAAGCTCTCTTGCACACCAAACTCAGCATTTCCTCAAGTTCTTCCGCCACTGATTTGCAAAGCAGACGAGCGCACTCAGCATGACTGTAGTCCCACTACAAGCTGAACAGTGACATCTTCAGTTGCATGTTGTCAAAAACAGGCTTGGAGAACACAGTAAGGAACATGCACTGACAAGACTACCAAGCTCTCATTCTGTAAATTCTCCAGCTGCTTCTGCACTGAGGGCTGCCTTTAGTCAGGAAACCCAGAAAGCTCTTTGAATGCTCCTTCTGTCGCAAATCCTGACAGAGCAAGGGAACAAGGTTTGAATGAATTACCTTTTGCACTCTTAATGGTCCTTTGCAGAACGTGTTGCATGGCTGACACAGTCTTTTCACATGCCACCTGCATTAACATAGTATATTCGGGTTTTAGTAAAATTTCAGCGGCCTAGTTTAATGCTATTATTTCAAAAACACTGCTATTGAGGCAAACACGACTGACAAGATGAAAACAGGCCAACAACTCTATGTAATGTACAGTTTGGGGAAAAAAAAATTTAGACTCTCATAATTCCCCTCAAACAGGTGTTAGAAACCACACACCCATATCGAGGACTCTATGTGCTTAAGGGAAAGAAACAGAGAAGTTGATCTGATAAATTATTTTTAAAGCTTATTATGAAGGAAGGGTAAACAAAATATGATTTCAAACATGCATGCAGTGTCTCTCGCTCTAGAGAGATGAACATCTTATTTTGCAAAATTACAAAATCCATGTCACTGAAATGTGACCATCCAAAGTTCTACAAGCTAAAATGTTCTGGCAAAAGGGAATTTCTGCTTTTTTTCCCTCTGACGTGAGGAAAAAAAGCCAAACCAGAAAAGACTCTTTAAATAATGTCACAGATTAGAAGTAATAATAATAAAAAAGAAACATAGTCTAAATTTGCAGAGACACAAATAACTTCTCCCACACCTTCAAATTGTTTGGATGCTTATGCGTCCATGCCAAAAGCATAGCAGCGAACAAGTCTCCTGTTCCAACAAAGACAGCATCCACTTTAGGAGACTCCACTCGAATTCTCTGTGTCATCTTCGTACCATCAGCATTAGCTAAAATGCAGACAGACAGTTAAGAAACAGACCCAGCAATTAATACAATAGCATTTACTATAATTTAAAAGTGATCACTAGATCTGAATTTCTTTGCTGTTTGGAGTGTAAAGATGCTAAGGCGTATCGTAAACTTTGTAACAGCTCTTTTAAAAGGTGAAACCTTTCAAAAAACTTTGCCAAGTTGGGATAGCATTTACAACTTAACATACTGTATATACTTCAATTAAGAGGGAGCAGGTAGCTAGCACCTTCATTTTCATGAAGGACTGAGAGCCACCTATTATCATTTAGACAGCAGCAGCAGCTTGCTCAGGAAACTGCATATTTATGGAGACTGCTGAATCCTAGATAGGGCACCCCAGACAATCATCTAGAGTATCTCTGGGTTGTCCGGAGGCACAAGAGCAGCTGTAGATATCAGCAGAGAATATCTGATTCATGTGCCATATTGTAATCACCATTAGAATGACAAGATTTATTCCAGGCCTGGCATGTAACTGAGTGCTAAGACCAACTGACTGATTCTTAGTGGAATCTGTTTGAAATTATCAAGACTTCTTCAGTCTCTCAGCAGGCCAGAATGTGATGCCCACATTTAGATCCCTTAGATGAACAAGAAAACAAGATCATATACCACCCCACATAACTATGTCCTTCTCAGGTAAAAAACATCCTGCAACACTCCAGACAATGAATATTGGTGATGGTATAGAAGCGGATATAAAGAAGCAGCAGAAGGACATTTTACAACTTACTGGAGAGGAACAATCTGCTAACACAACAACACAACTTTTTATAAAAGCATTCAAAACATTGAAAGTTCCTGTTTTATACCACTACTACTTGTCAGGGCCACTACTAGGGGCTTTAACAGCTCTGATCAACCTCACCTAGGACATCCTCCACCCATGCACCCTGTGCCCACTTGCCCAGGAGCTGCACAGAAGCTCAGGCCCAGGTGCAAGCATCCTTGCCTGAGCTATGTTGTAGGTGTACCTGTGTACAGCCCTGCTGTCCTGACTTAACCGATGAGATTTTCCAGATTAATCTTGGACCTGGCTTATCTCACCTTTCTCCGATGATCACTGGACTGTCAATGGGACCTGTCCACCACCACCACTCCTGTTCTGCTCACCTTATTCAGATACTGTGGGCCTGCGCTTCATTGGCAAGGGCAGTGCTCTGCCAGTGCTATGATCACGCTCAGCTCCCAGCTTGTCTTCCCTCATGGAGAAGCCCCATTCTTACCCCTCTCTGATATTACTACAGGAGAAGTTCACCTAGGGATCTAAGCTCCTTCCATGCACTACAGATGGGTCTGATGGAACTACTTCTTTAAAAAGTTACTGAAAGCACAGAACAGGTTAAAAGTAAGCACAGTTTAATGAAGGAGTTCATGACTTACTTTTTCTGTGGCTTCCCAGAGCAATTAGGTAGTCGTTTCCTAGAGGTGCCTGTAGATCTGAGCTTGTGATCACCACAGTCTCTGGTCCCATGGCATGGAGCATATCCATTACCTTTCCATGTGCAAAAAGGCAGGAATCAATGAGTGCAATGTGTGTTGATTAAACCTTGCATCATATATAGTACTGAGGATTTTTGAGAAGCACCTTGTTTTGCTATATTTTGTAAAGAGAAAAAACAGTTTCTACTGAAGAATTCATTTGAATTAGGGGAATTAATTTGAAATAGGGGAATCAAAACATCCATATTTAAACGTACACGCTTGTTAAAATATACAAGCATCTCTGTATTATTTTTGGATGCTTCTCTGAAAAGAATACTGTTTCAGCTGTGATCAGAATTTTTGTCTGCATCATGTTTTTAGAACATATTATCAAAAGAATAAGAGAACAAAAATACAGACATGTGCACCTGAGCTAGCATCTTGAAACACTTGCTAGAAAGCCAATACCTCCTGGTCATGAAGTCTTATTTAGCTACTACTTTAAGAGTTACCAAAAACGAAGAGTGAAAGAGCTAAATCAGAGGCACAAGTGTGTGTCTCAATCTTTTTTTCTCGTTCTGTTTCGAACCCCAAATTACACCTGCAAATTATGTACCTTTGCAGGTGTATTTCCACTTTGTGCATTCCTCACTTAAACTCATTAATACTCTACTTCTGATATCACAATTGCTTGCTACAGAAGTGATTTTGATTTCACAGAAGAAATAATGACTTCAGTAAGTTTCGCATAAAACACAGAGGAAATATTAATTCTCCCAGAAGAGTTTAACTAAAAATCCTCTCAGGCTAGCTGTGACTCATGAGCAGCTGAACGATAAGGATTTATTTCTGGTATTTTTTAATTCTCTATTGCTTTTCTTTCTGGTCTAAGCCTCCAGGTTTCTTCAACTCTCAGACCTCTTTGCATAGACATCGGCTGGGTTTTAAAAAAAGCAGTAAATCCACCAGCACACACTGACATAATCAACCTATGAAATAACATTAAACTCAATTTCATTTCTCAGTCACAATTCACCAAGAACCCAATCACCAGTATTTCTAGTTGTAGAACTTAGCCCCTTCTGCATTAATATTACGTCATATTTAATTTTCTGTTAGAAGACTATACTGTCATCACTAGTCTTGCTAAAGGAATCAATGAAAGCATGTCACCGTGGAAATTGATGCCAGAATTCTTCCTACATTCGAAGGGGACAAATTCCAGCATGGATTATTACTCAGGAGGATAGACCTATATATGACATGCAGCTGGGGAGACAGATTAAAATATAATATCCTGCAAGCAACTAATTTAAAAATTTTTCCATTCCTAAGTATGATTCCATCTCTTTAGAAGAGATTTTTTAAAAATCCATCACAAATAAGAGCTATCACATGAATCAGAGAGTCAGAAAACTAACTTATAAAATTGTTCAGCACATGCAACTCGTGTTTGCAGCTGAAATAAAACTATGCTCAGCTCATAGTGTTGTTCTCAAGACTGTGGTTCTGCTAGCGAGGATGAGAATAGAAGAACTGAGTTGTAGTTAGCAGCTAGTGGAATGAAGCACAGTTCATCACTGTTGCCCAACACAGCGAGGTAATGTAAGACTGGGATGGGGGGGAATTAAAAAAGCCGAGATCTTTGGAGCTGTTTCCTGCTGTGAAGAGATGGTAATCAACCCATGTTGCATGACGTTGCTGGAAAAAAAACAACAAACATTTGGGCTAACAGACTCCAGCTACTCTCCAGGGTGCCATTGCAACTGCCCTTTGTTTAAAGATTTTGTGTTCCTTTGAAGTTCAAAACCAAACTGGAGGAAATAACGTCAGTGCATTATGAAAGCACCTGACTAGTCAATGAAACAAAGATCTCAGCCCTTCTCAAGACACCAATAAAACCATATTCCTATTTTGTCCTTCATCACCGAGCCCTGTGGCTTTTTTGCTTCAGTTTGTGCAAAAGGGTAAATCTTTACACCTCAATGCAGTATATTTGCGGACCATCTATCATCTCTGTATGGCAATGACAGCAGCTATCAATGCTGTGGGTTTGTCTGTCTTACACCAGGACGCACCCGAAGGCCATCACTCCCAATCTGGCTTCTTATCTTTGCAATCTATCCTTTTGCAACGCAGGTTTCATACTCTTTAAGTCAATTTAAGGAAGAGAAACAGAGCACCAGCAAACACTGTCAGGAAGAGATTCAGAATGTACTGAATCAGTCCTTGCAAGAGTTTGCTAGCAAGCTCTCTTTCTTGCAAACCGTCTGTATGGAAGAATGAGAAACGGCTGCCCTAACACCCAGCATTGCTGTTGCACGACCCACCAGTGCGCAGCAGATGGAGCAACTCATGCAGGTTTCTAATGCCCAGGGTCAGATGGGGGTCTCACCCCAACCACCGCATTTCCACCCCAACCACTGCATTTCCACCGCGCTGACAGCGCGTGGTTACTTGCCGTGTGTGCTAATGCTACCTTTCCTACACTGCAGGAAAACAAGCTCACAGAAATCTACTCATTACCACTGCAACGCCTTTATCCGTAGTTCTGAGAAGTTTGTTCAGAAGTCTGACACTAGAACAGAAAGCGTTTTGCGCCTGGAGTGCACAAGCTTTCACGATAAATGTAGAGAAAGGATAGAGGCCAAATTGACTTCAAGGTTAAAGACAAATGGCAAACTGCAGCATTGCAGGCAGGAATACGGAAAGAGATCTTACACATCCCATCCCTTACCTACTTACCTCTAAAGCTTCTTCTTCTGTGTGAATTTTCCTGCCCGTCAGTAACCTGAGAATGAAACAGAAATATTAAAAGGACACAAGTTCTCCAGGCAATGACTGCTTTGCTTACTCTTTGAAAGGAGGAAAGCTTGGACCGCACCACACAGGGCTAAACAGTTTGTAGCTACATGGTCTGCTATTAAAAGTTATGTGCACAGATACACAGTGCTTCTGAAGCGGACCCCCACCAGTCCTAACCTGCCTCCTGTAGAGATCCATGTACCATAAAATTCCCTCACAAGTGTCTTCTCTCCATCTCCCATGTAGCTGCTTTCTCCTCTCGGGGGACAGCCTGTCATGTATCACAACAGATCATCTCCTGACCAAAGAGTCACAGCTATGCAGACAGGATGGGCAGGAAGCATTTAAATTCTTAACTCCTATGAGATGTTGCCATGGTGGTATTTCTGAATCTAATTCGGGGGGTTTAAGTCAAACTATTTCAGTTTTGATATTCTGACATATAATAAAAATTTTCCTAGGAATGGGTAAGGATGGGGAAGGGAAGCGAGATATTTATTTCAACCTGCCCTAGATACAGGCCTCTGGAGATAACAAGAAGTGATCATGAAAATGAGAGACCAGAGAAAACAAGGGAAATCTTCTCCTCACATAACTCACAGATTTTTATTTTTTTTTATTGATTTCGATATGGAACAGTTGGAGGTTTGCTGAAAAGCACCACTTGAAAGTAACAGCTAAAACCCAAAACCCAACACATACATACATACGGCACTATATTGACACAAATAAAAGAACGTGTATCAGTCTCCCCTAAGTTTAACCCCAAGTTTATTTGGTTATAAAAGGAAATAAGTACTTACTCAGCTTCAAACTGGTTAGGAGTAATTATATCAGCAACAGGTACAACTTTGTCCCTGTAGACTGGGAGGAGGTCCTTGGGCACATACTAGGGAAGAAGAAACAGTACCGAATATTGTCAGTAGCATGGGAGATGTGAGACTGCAAATCTCCTTCCCTCAACTACCAGTCACGCTGTCACGGCATAACCTGACAGCTCCGGGTGTACCGTCAGGCAGCAGTAACTGAAGTGGCAGTGCACCCTCCAGCTGGTGACAGTACAACCAACAGCCCTTCTTTCACTGGAGGCGATGGGAAGCACCGCTAAGCAGACACAGCCAAACCAGCAGCTTTAAAAGGAAGTGGTGCCTGGATGAAGAACTTTCGGGTTCCCTCTCACCAAGGTGACACAGCAGCATGAGGAAATACAGTGTCCCAACATAGGAAACCCCTTCTTATGTCCAGTTGTATCAGCCATGGGTACAACCCCACCACAGTGCTGACCACTAGGTGCTAACCAGAACACCCATCATATGGATACTGAGCTCACTCATTCAGCCATGGTGAAGCGATGATGTCACAGGGACTCTGCCTTTAGACGGAAATACAAGACTAGGTCACATCTAAACCAAGGCATTTTAAATAATGACTTTATTACTTCTTATGGCAGGAATGAGTTGGTGGGTTTCGTGTTAAATATTCTGCTCTTCGTCTACCTTACCTTCCACCCAAAAGGCATAGGTAGGCCCATGGTTATGACTTCTCCCAAGAGCTAAAGCTTTGCAAGGTGACACTACAGCTGCTAGATCTCTGCCTTGTTAGAAAAGTCCAAGGACAATAAATATTGCAACAGATATAAAATGAAAAAATAGAACACAATAGCATTGGCAAATTTATTACCAAGTGCTACTTCATATGATGTTTTATGAGCAGGTAAACTGTAAAAAGGTACAAGGACAGAGAGGAATTCATAGTGCATGACTAGCTAAGGCAGAAGAAAACATAAAATATCATTATTGCTGATGTCTCCCCACATTGCATTTTTACTGAAATTATTTGCTAGTTTTGATCAAAAAGGAATGTGTCTTTGTCAGCATGCAGTCTGGTACTGGCACACAGAACCTTTCTGTCACCGATCACAGCCCAATGCCCAACAGCTGTGTGGTCTCACATGAAATATGTCATCTTCATTTAGGTTCATGTGGTATGTCAATTCACACCATCACTGACAATGCCAGCCAGGCTACCAGCCAAAACAGAGCTCTTGACAGAATACGAGGGAACTCCAGTGAGACAAGGAGGGGGAGGCAGGGGGGTATTTTCCTGCGAAGAGGGTCTGCATTCCACCTGTTGTCTCAGCAGAGAGTTAGAAATAATCCCAGGGCTATGCAGCCATCATTCTTCCCAGATACTAAACTCATTCAAATACAGGAACTTAAAGTACAAACTTACTTAATGCTGGGATCCAAAGCCACATTTAGGTAAACTAACTTAGTTTTGGTGTTTAAAAATTAATAAATCTTTATACATCTTTATATAGCAAATATTCACTATACAGGGAATCCAAACAAATAAGTACTAACCATAGAGCCTTCTCCATTCCATTTGTCACCCATCACTGGATCGCATACTGTAACAGAATAAATCTAGCTTTAGAAATGGGGTACAGTTAGAGAGAGCCTGGCAGGAGGGAAAAGTTTTAGCAGTGGCTATGTAACAGCACTGAGCACCTGATAGCTTATATACTCTCACAGTTCTTGCACTTAACCTGAAATTTATAACTGGTGGCTGCCAATTCTGAAAGAGTAGGCCATGTGTCTTAACTGTCAGAGGGTTGTAGTCACCCTCTCCTACCTGCTTGCATGCTGTCATGTCTGAAGGTGATGAGGATGAGAGAGTTTCACTGATGGGAGTAAAGGGGCTTTCGTTATGGAAAACGCAGAGAGTTCTCCCCTTCACTCCCCAATCCAAAACTCTGGAGTAGTAGTACGGTGGGGAAGAAACATGGGAGAAGCTAATAGCTGTGAAAAGAGTCCTATTTTTACTTTAGTGTAAAAAGATACATGCCAAACGTACACACCACAATGCTGTGTGTACACATTAAAAAAATTATGTGTATTATAATGAAACAAGAAGAAAATCCATACCAAAGTACATAAACTCATACTTGGTGTAACAATATTAACACGTGTTTGGCGCAGGTTCTGAATGATCAGCAGCATGAACATATTCTAAGTGCCCTCAGTTTTAAAGTCAGGACGGAAACACCCTAGCCTTGTACTTTAAAAAGGAACATTGCTCATTGTATTAAAAGAGCTTTTAGCAAGATAAAAAAGAAATATAAATACAAAGGTATCAAATCAATGTCCAATCAGTATTTGAGGAAGTTTCTATGAGTAAAAAGAGGGTAAACTGTTTTACATTTTAAAAGTATTTTCCTTACATTATAATCTATTTATTAAACACAAAGGAACTTATAAGCCTAGCTGTGTTCTCATGATCTGACCACATCCTTCCTGTTCTATACGGCTAGATGTTTCTTTCTGCTCATACTCCAACAGTTTTTGGCTTTCACTTACCAGTACAATGCTCTGGAGAATCTGACAATGCAACAGTGTTAATAAAGGCTAGAAGACAACAAAACCTGTGCTCACGAAGATCTCTGCTACGTTTTTCTAAATGAGAACTGTGCTTTGTTAATTTTACGTCAGATATCACACTGCGCAGTATCACACCTTGCAAATCCTGCAACCATTCTAGATGTTTCCTGACCACACAGTTTACTGAACCTGAAGATGAAAGGCTCAAACTGTCATTCATAGCTTTTTATCCCACTAAATCCCCACTGACTTTGCCTTGTCACTCTAAACGTTTTACTCAATTCAAGCCTACACTAGTTATGTTCAAAAGTCCTGAAACACTGAGAGTCAGGAAGAAAAGAGAAGACTCTTTTCTCATGGGTTTAAGCCTGACATGGCACGTTAATGACAGCACTTGCTAGAGTCTGTTGCTTTTTGAGTGCTCCTAAGTAATCTTAGCAGAGGGCACCAGAGTTAAAAAAAGCCTTGGAGTTTAAGCTAAATTATGAAGCTTATAAAGCACAGTAAGACACTTCTGGGATGTAACAAGAAATGATGGCAGGGCAACACAGGAGAGTCTATCCTGCTTTTGACTGACTTGGAAATCAAGGAGAGGTTTCAGCTATCACCACTTACAGCCTATGCCTCTGAACTACAAACAGCAGCAGCCAGCTGGGATTTTACAAGCCTTTCTTTGATACAGACGATCAGTCCTCAAGGCACACTCTCCTTTGGACAGCATAATGCAAGAAACATACTGAATGGAATAAAAGATAAAAACTCAACTTCCTCAACACTTAAGCAATGCTGAAATGAAACTTCACTGAAGCCTCAGCTGGTCCCAGCCAGATCAGGGCACAAGATGGTTGTGAAACGCTGGCTAACATCACAACAGCATTTTCATCCTAAACCGTGAAAATGATAAGCACATATAGTGATGAAGCAGAAAGGATTATAATACACATCCTTACCATATACTAGGTTAGAATTCTGTTGCTTCAACTCCTGGACAATATCCACCACCATTGCAAGAAATGATGTGTCTCTTGTATACCCTTTTGGAAAAAAAAAAAAAAAGACGACACTTTTGAAGTCTATTTTCATGAACACCTCTTTTTTTTTTATTTTGGACAGGAATGCTGCATACTTCTCATTCTTTGGAACAATGCATTTTTAGAACAAAGGCTTTTTAGTATTTTAGTTGGGAATAATAGGTGGTAGACAAATTCAGACAGTGCTTGCACAACTACACAGATAACCTTAAAAAAAATAAATCCATTTACTAAGTACGTTATACATGAAGGGCTCATACAACTTCAAAATGCTTGAAAATATATACCAAAAGGTCAGGCTGAAAGGAAAAAAACATTCCTTTTCTTCAAAAGAGCAGTCCAAATCAGTACTATTTATCATGTAGGAAGTCAGAAACATTTTAAAATCCATACACTTATCTTGTACTCTGGTTTGAAACAGGGTTTTATTATTATTAATGTTGGTGCTGATACAGTCCAATACATTAATGCAATGGAGAATTAATCTTGAATATTTTAGAGCAATGGCCAACACACCAATAAAATTTCTATTTTAGGCTTAGCAGTGAAATAAGCTGGAAATAAGTTTTATTATATCTCAAGGCCCTAATGACAATGCTAGCACCACAATACTCTTATTAAATAATTTATTTTATAGATGTTTCTTTCTTTATATACTTAGGTATTAACTTCATTTACAACATTTATTAATTAATAATTTGATTTTCATTTATTTTAGTTCATTTAACAGTATTATTTTTAGCAGTGTAGCTTCTTCAAAACTTCAAAACTTCAGCTTGGAAATGTCCACTCTACTGAAATATTTAAAAATACATTTTGGATTTTTGTTTTGTTTTGTTTCTTCCAAGATTTTTGGCCAAATGCTTTCTCTATGTTTATGAAATGCTGATAATCAGTCAAAAGAGCCAAGTAAAGACTTTTGTTTAAAGTGACCTGTGATGGTAGACTGGCTGAAAAAAAAAATAAAAAAATATAGAGTACAATTAACATTACTGACAGAGGTATTTCAAAAAAATTACACTTAATTGGAATTTATCTCTTGCCTTGAGTGCTTTACTGTAAATGAAACAAATATATGAAGATCTACAAGTAACTAACAGTCACAAAAGTTAGCAAAGTGTTATTTTGTATAATCAGCCTAAAGATAACCATTTCTATTTCAGCCAAGGTATCTACAGTCATCAGACATACAATTACAGTCAAATCCCACCTGCTGAGAAATTAATTTGTTTTCAGTGTTTGAATAATCATATCCAGGTTGTTGGAGGTACAAAGCACAGTTGTGCACTACAGTGAATGGCTGATCCTGTTTGAAGAGAAAAATCGGTCTTTTGGCCCTGAATGAAAAAAACTGAATATTAAGTTCAGCCACAGCAGAACTGAACACTAAAACACTGAGAGTGTTATTAGACCTTAAGAAATTAGTGGCATTTCTACCCGTGCCTTCTTTTCGTCCATACTGAAAATGGCTACACCAAACGGGATTTTTAAACAAACATGAACACACTGACCCATCTACCCACAAATCCTATTTCAAAAGGCATATTAATAAATATTACTTTTTTCCTCCAAAATCTCCTTTTGCTGAAGATTTCTATTTTTCCTTCTACCATTTTTAATCTCTTACATCCATTTTGCCAGTACAAGACAGTGATAGGAAAGGAGTTGGGGTCTCTTCCAAGAGTTTTAAAGTAAAATAAAGAAGGAACATTTCAGCTAAAAGAATACTCAAGCATTATTTACAAATTTTGCATACTAACATCTCCTGAAAACTCCTACAATACAGTGTGCTTTGACTGGAAATGTCCTCCCTGTGAGTTCTTTCAAGGAAAGAAAGGGTGTTTGTCTATTTCTCAATCACAAAGAACCCCTTTATGCTGAAATTAATTTCTTAACCCTTAGTTCAGTCTATTTTCTATTTAGTCTCCTTTACTTTGGAGACATTCCCTGAAAAAGAACTGAAAATGCATCTTCAGACATGCCATACCCTTCAAGGCAGGACTGCTTTGGGGTTACAATCCACACACTTAAAAGTCTCCAGTTTTCCCTTTGTATAAAGCACTTTCCTACACGTGGAAGCCATGAAATCAATCAAATCTGGCAATATATTTCTGTTTACTTTTTAAAAGTGACTGTTCACAGCTATAAAAAATTGATACTGTAATCTAAACCAGATGCATAGCTCTTACTGAGGTGAAACCCTATCAGTAATCTACATTTGAGAAGCAGGAATTGGATGAGAAGCAGTTTTTAGTAAAAATTGCATATAGAATCTCTCCTTTCTATAAAAAAGCATTCCACAAGAAGTTCTCTTTGCCTATGTTTACAAACAGTTTGCACCTAGTGGCAAAGGAAAACACTGCACAGTCATTATGTCCTGCAGAACTGTATCCACTCAGAGACGTACGTAGTAACAAGAGCAACAAAAAAAAAAAAAAAAAGCAAGAGATATGACAGAATGAAAATCCAACTCCAACTCTGTTATACTTTGCTCTGTATCCAAAGCGCTACCCCTTAAAGATCAAGTAGAAAAAAACAAGGACAGACAACTGTGTATAAAATCATGCTCTAGTACCACAGAATGCCAGTACTGCAAATTTAGGAGAAAGGGTTAAACTCATGTCTTCATAATAAATTTAAAAATAATATTCTGACATTCCTCATCCTTTTTTCAGTAGAGGCACTCCCAAAACTTTTAATTTAATTAAGCCTGTTCATGACTGGCCTGTACAAGTCTGTAAACTATACAAGGGGATCAATTTACTCGCACAATTACAACCTTCAGGCTGAAGAACACTGGCTCTTTCAAACTACACAGTATGAGCAGTTGAGACTATAATATACAGATGAAATTGCAGGAGGAATCAAAGGAGGGAAAATACAATTGCTTGATTTGGAATAAGCAGGAATACGGTTTATAGTTCTTCATTTTTGTTTACATCTCATGGGAACTCCAAGGAGCAAGTTCTTCTTACCTGTGAGTACATAATCATACCGGTTGACCTTGTTCAGCTTAAGTCCTTCATACAGTTCATGAAGTTCATCTGAATTTAACACCTGACCCTTCCAGTGGGCATAACCTGCAAAGTAAACACCAGATAGTTTTTCAAGAGCTAAATTTTCTATTTAGAATCACACCGATTATACACTTGGAGGGACTGTATCAGATATTCACACCAGAAAGCATTTCTACCTCCTCTTCTGTAAAACACTGTTGCTGAATGAAGGCTGCTGCCAGCAGAGCAGTTAACGTGCTCAACTTCTTCTTAGCACCTCTCTTTCCCAAAGGAACTAGAGTGACTACACTGGAGTTTGAGACTGTTGGTTTATCGGCAGATTGAGCAGAGCACACACAAGCTCCTGCAAGTTTTCCCATGGAGCCTATACAGCTATACCTCTCCTGCGTGGAAGGCAACAAATGCATATTTTAGACTTCACTGGAGGAGGGTGTCAGTATAATCTATTTGTGTTATTTTATACTATAAAAAGACTGACAGCTAGATGATGACAAGCTTAAACAGGAGTTGTGGATCTGTCTGGACACAGGCGTGCAGCACTGCTGTACCCATCAGATAACGGCGTTCACTGGGACCTGGGTGTAACAAATCGAGTGAGCACAGCAGAACATTGTCACGGATGCTCTTTAAGCATACAAAGTCATCTGACAGATTTTCTTCCAAAAATAGCACAGTTTTATGCTCAGGTTCCTGGAGGAGGCCAATGAATATCAGAAAGACACTAAAAACAGACAAATAATATCCATACACTCTTATCCTTGAGTGATCTCTAAGAATTACAAACCAACATTCATGGCTGAGCAGCAGACGGAAGGTGAGGTTACTTGGGAGAAGCTGAACTGATTTCAGCAAACAATGGACCAGGCTCCATGGCAGCCAATTTCAAGCCAAAAAAAAAACAAACAAAAAAAACCCCACCCAAAAAACATTCCTTGACAGACTCTAAACATTTGCTGAAAAATGTAAATGCACCTTGCACCATCACAGTCTGCCCATCCAGATAGCAGCCATCACTCCCTTGTATAGAAGAATGGGACTTCCTCCAGGATATTAGATGAAGCACCTACAATTTAACTCTTCCAACCTCCATAAATTCAGAGTTTGTTAAAAAGATTATCTTTTTATTAACGGGATGGGAAAGTGAAATGTATCTTCTTCCACACCACCCCTCTGTGATGACAATGGTATTTTGTTTAACTTCTGCTCTTGGAGTTTGAAAATTCTGTGATAAAAACTGTTGGCTTTGATTATCACTCTAAACTCTGTTATTAGAGTAACTGCCAAAAGGTGCCTACAGCCTAGGATAAGCACATTTTTCAGTTCTCCTTCTTATGAATGCAAATACACCCACAGTAGGGTGAGCAGATGGATCATTTTGTCCTCAGCCTCACAAAGGCCCAGCCTCTAAAACACGACTCGCTGCCAGCTGGCTGGGGACTGACTCACATCAGCCACTACAGTTCCCTCCCTAGAAAATGCTTTTTATAAAGTCTCTGTGAAGAAACGGACAAAGCGAGGGATTCCCATATGTTAGGGCTGTCGTTCCCTTGCAGAACACAGCGATACTCAAAACAGCAACGCCTAACACCTAGGCACACGTCTAGCCCCAAGTATATGAGGAACCCTTGACTACAACTAACTCAAGTATTTGGCTTATTTAATGCATATGCAGATGTTTGTTCAGTCACATCTGCAGCTTCACAGAGAAATAACCCACGCTCCCCTCTTCCTTGTATCTCTACTCCTATTAGCACTGCAAAGCCAGTCCATACAGGGACACAAATGGGGTCCTTTTTATTTCACTGTGCCCACACCAATGAAACTGAATGGAGTTTTCACCCACAATCAAGTTCAGCTGGCAAAAAAATCAGTCGTTTGTCTTACATCTAGCTGTAAAAGTAACTACCATAGATTGTCCAGACAATCTAGACACTCCTGGGAGCCATTCTTACACAGGGACCCTGCACATTCACTATTTAACTAAAAGTTCACCTTCCTACGTCAAGCTGTCTTAAACAGTCAATGCAGAGGGTCCGTGTCACACTGATTCTCCACTGAGGGAGGGGAATAAATACAGAAACAGAGTGTTCAGTAGCAGCCCAGCTTAGCTCAGGAATTAGTTACCCACATGGGGCCAGGACACTGTCCAAACTCTGTAGCAATGACTTCCAAGAGTATTTAGAGGATCCTTTTTCCCACACGTGTAATACAATCTAAAGCCTAATCACAGGGTAGCTGGAGGAAAAAAAAAAAAAAAAGCCCTAGGGAAACTCTCAGGGAAGCCCCAGATATTTAGACAGAAGAAAAAGGGCAATGCCTTCACTGGGACTGCAGAGAACTATGATTTTGCTAGGAGTTGAATTATGAAGAAACAAACTCAAAACTGGCAGCAAGATGGAAACCACCCTAAGCCCTTACCCCGGGGTAACTTCATGTAACGTGATGAACAAGGG